CCTACCCTCCCTGACTTTTCCCTTCCCTAGGTGCTTGTGTGTTTCCCCAAGCAGGACAGGCAATGGGACCCCAAGAGTCCTTCCTGATGCCTTCACCAGGGTTCACAATGCCAGAGAGTGAGCAGAGTAGGAATCTGGGGTACTATCACCCTGAGCCACATATGCATACCCACTTTTAGCCCCTCATCTGGGTACTTATCTGGGCCCTCTGTTCTCAGGCCATCGACAGATCCAGCTAGCAGTGCCTGGAGCCTATGAGAAGCCACAGCTCTTGCCCCTGCAGCCTCCTGTGGAGCTGGGTTTCCCGCCCACCTTTACCTTCCACGTGAACCCAGTGCTAAGCTCCAAGCTGGATGTGGAGCTGAGAGAGAAACTCATGGTCTTGCAGGTGAGCGAGCCCATGGGCCCAGTGAGTGCTGGAGTCCCATCTAGTGGGAAAGCACTGGGTGACAGAATCGGTTCAGCTAGCAGAGAGTTCCAGAGTGCCATTTTTCTCCACACCAGAGAGTGCCTTGGATGTTTTCTTATTTGCAGAGCGGCCCAAGTGTTGAACTGGAGACCCAGACCAGCAAACTGGGAGAGGGAGGCATCCTGCTCTCCTCTTTGCCCCTAGGCCAGGAGGAACAGTGCTTTGTGACCTTGGGGGAGGTAAGGCTCTACCTGGGTGCTAGAGGGATCCCTGCCTGCTTTGTGCCCACCAAGAAAGACTTGGGGAGGGACCCTAGAAGGGTCAGGATCAGACCGGCCTGGAGCTCAGCTGTAGTGTCCACGTCTGGGCCCGGATTACCAGAGCCACAGGGCTGGCCTGTGGAGAAGCAATTTAACTGGGGGAAGGCCACTCAGGATTGCAGTTGTTGTGTCTTTCAGGATCAGGAGGTGGCTCTGAATGTGAAGGCAGAAATGAGGTGAGGAGGGGCTTCAGAAAGAAGGCATCTTGGGGCTTGGCTGGAAGTGTGGGGACATGTATTCTGCTCTCCTGTCCACCTGGCTCAGGCCATGGGGACCATCTCTTTCCCTCCCCATTTCTGACTCTGACAGGAAACTCTTGGGATCTTTCTGAGGGGGTTCCACAGAATGTGGGTCTGCTCCTGTGAAAAACTGGTTTGGTCTGAGTCTCTCTTCCACAGAACAGTCACCCAGCCTTCCCACCTCCCCCCACCTCTCCTGATGCAGCTCTGGAGACCTTGACCTGCGCCTTGGCTTTGACCTCTGTGACGGAGAGCAGGAGTTTCTAGACAAGAGGAAACAGATTGTGTCCAAGGGCCTGCAGAAAGTGCTGGGATTGAGTGAGGCTCCAGACAGTGACCAGGTAAGGAACTTCATTAGTTTCCTGTGGCTGCTGTAACAGAGTACCACAAACCTAGTGGTTTAAAATTAAAAAAATACCGCAATCTGGTCGGTGTGAAAGAAATTTGTTCTCTCATAGTTCTGAAAACCACAAGTCCAAAATCAAGGTGTCAGTAGGGTCATCCTCCCTCTGAAGGCTCTAGGGAGGAATCCATCTTTGCCACTACCAGCTTCTGGTGGCCCCAGACATTCCTTGGCTTGTAGCAGCATAATTTGAATCTCTGCCACTGTCTTCACATGACCATCTTCCCCTCTGTCTCTGTGCCTGAATATACCTCTGGGTAGTGCAAATAGTTAACGATGCTCTGCTACTAACCAAGAAGCTGGAGACTCGAGTCCACCCAGAGGCACCTCAGAAGAAAGTCCAGGTGATCTACTTGTGAAAAATCAGTCACTGAAAACCCTATCAAGCACATGGAGTTGCCATGAGTAGAACGTGACTTGATAGCAACTGGTCTATTTGGCATCAGACATCCACTCTGTCTGTGGAGGGAAAAGAGGGCACGGACCCTGCCCAGGGGAACATCCTGCACTCTGAAGGAACAGGGCCCTCTGTGAGAAGTGGCCAGGGAACATTTTTTCAAGACCAGAGAGAAAAAGAGACAGAGAAAGGAATGGATAGAATCGGGTAGAATGAGGCAAACTTTGTGAAGAAGCTGAGCAGCCACAAGCCACAAGTCTGATCCCATCAGGCTCTTCTGACCCTGAAGACGACCTTAACATCTGGACACTTCACATGTCCAGGCTGCTTTGTGGTCTTTGTCACTTTTGTCTGGGGGACAAAAAAAAAAAAAAAAGAAAAGAAAAAAACCACTGCCATTGGGCCAATTCCAACTCGAGTGACTCTCATTGGGTTTCCAAAGCTGTAAATCTTTACAGAAGTAGATTGCCTCATCTTCCTCCTGTGGAGCAGCTGGTGGGTTTGAACTACTGACCTTTTGGTTAGCAGCCAAATATCTTATCCACTACGACACCAGAGCTCTTCAGTGGTTCTCACCTGGGAGTTATTCTCTGCCCCCCACTCCCCAGAGGACATTCGGCAATGTCTAGAGACATTTTTTTATTGTGTGACTAGGGAAAAGGGACCTAGTGCTAGAATGCAATGGCCAGAGGATAGGGAAGCTGCTAAATGAGCATCTTATAATACATGGGGCAGCCTCCATAACAAAGACTTGTCTGGGACAAAATGTCAATAGTGCCAACGTTGAGAAACCCTGCTCTTTTGGGGATTCATCCCGGATATGTATCCTTCCTGGTGTAATAAAGCCAGTCTGCCTGGGTTTGAATCCTTGCTCATCACTTTCTTGTTGTATGGTATTGGGCACATCTAACATTCCTGCGGCTCAGTTTCCTCACTGTAAATGAAGATCTCATTGGGTTGCCACAAAGATTGATGAGATAACATATGTAAGGCACTTAGAACAACGTGTGACATGTATTGGCAATAAAGAGATTATGGTGGTAGGTAGTTCTTGTTATCATTGTTATTATTGTGTCCCAGGTACCTGTGGTGGCTGTGCTGGGTTCTGGGGGTGGAACCCGAGCCATGTCTTCCCTGTACGGCAGCTTGGCAGGACTGCAGGAGCTGGGCCTCCTGGACACTGTGACCTACCTGGGTGGTGTCTCTGGGTCCACCTGGTAAGTAAGATGGGAGCAGGGGGCAGAGGAAAAGAGAGTACTGAAGAGGGAGAGACATGACCTGGTGATCTGATGGAGTCCTCCAGGGAGGCCTGGGCCTGCAACTAAGGGTGTTAGGAGGGACAGTAAGAGGCTGTCTGAGTGGGTGGTGTAGAGCAGTGGATGTGAGTGATGGGGGAGGAGTGGTCATTCATAGACTCCTGCATCCCTCCTTCCCCTTGCTATGCTCATTGACCTTCACTCACAGGCCTGCCCTCCATCCTCAGGTGCATTTCCACACTCTACAGCAACCCAGCCTGGTCCCAGGTGGCCTTGCAGGGCCCCATTGAGCGTGCCCAAGCCCGAGCCTGCAGCAGCAAGATGGGGGCAGTGTCCACAGAACGGCTACAATACTACGCCCAGGAACTGGGGGCCCGGGAAAGAAGCGGCCACAGAGTTTCCCTCATAGACCTGTGGGGCCTCCTTGTGGAGTACTTCCTGTACCAGGAGGTAAAAGAGGAGCAGGCAGTGAACGTCAGTCCTCTCCACCCTGCTCCCCCAGTACTTAGTTCTACCTTAAGCCTCAGGCTAAGACTTGAGGTTGGCAAAGCTGGCTTTGAGGTCTGAGCTCTCCGGGGGGGGGAGGGGGGGGAGAGGTGAGATCCCAGGGTGGGCTGACACCACTTTGTTTTTCTTGGGGAAGGGAGAGCATAGCCTGTAGTTCTCAGCTCTGTCTGCATATTAGAATCACCTGCAAACCAAAACCAAACCAAACTCATTGGCATCTAGTCGATTGCAGCTCATAGCGACCCTTCCTTGGGTTTCTGAGGAAGTATCTCTACAAAAATAGATTGCCCAACCTTCCTTTTGAGGAGTGGCTGGTGGGTTTGAACCACCAGCCTTTTGGTTAGCAGTCAAATGCCTTAGGTACTACGCCACCAGGGTTCCCAGAATCACCTGCACAGCTTTTCAAAAACATCCATGCCTGGGCCCCCCTCAAGAGATACTTATATTTCAGTTGATCTGGGCTAGGGCCCTAGAACAGTTATGTTTTAAAAGTGTCCCAACCGATTCCAGATGTAGCTGAGGCAGGATACTACCATTTCAGCTCATTTGCCAGTGTCTCCATGACTCCCGCCACCTGGTGGCTGTTCCTAGAACTGCAGGCCAGCCATCTGCTGGTAAATAAGCAGATTCAGCCTTGGGGGCCTGACCCCTGGGTGCATGTGGCTATCAGTTATGAATGTATGTCACAAGTGGATTCTCATTCCTAAGTAAATAATCCATGTTTTCTGCTGAGTTACTTTTTTTTCTTATGAAAAAATATATAATGCAACATTTGCCAATTTAACATTTTTCATGTGTACCTTTCAGTGACAACAATTCCATCAATCTTGTGCAACTATCACCAATATCCATTGCCAAATTTTCCATTGCTATAAACAGAAACTCAGGCTTCCTAATCTAGTGATTTCAGTTATTCCTTTAACAATACCACTTTGAGTCCTGTACATTCTCTTTTTTTTTTCACCTTTGCATTCTGACATGCTTTTTTTTTTAAAAAAAAAAAATATGCTTTCTTGAATGGCAAAAAAGGAGTTCCCACAATCTCCCTGGGATTGCACACAACTCACAGTGGCCGGCCTTACCTCTGCTGTAGCCTACAGCTTGTCCCTCAGTGACCTCTCTAAGATGCTGGCCTTAGTGACCCAAAGTCTTTCTTATGGGCACACCACACCCCTGCCTGTGCAGAGTGTTGGGCTTTAGGCCATCAAGATGGGGAAAGGGACTCCCAAAAGGCCAACTTATCCCCCGTCTTTTTTTGCTCAGGAGAACCCAGCCAAGCTGTCTGACCAACAGGAGGCAGTCAGCCAGGGTCAGAACCCTTACCCCATTTATGCCAGTGTTAATGTCCGCACCAACATCAGTGGGGAAGATTTTGCAGGTACGTGAGGTCATGGAGACAAAGGGAGGAAGTAGAGGAAATGGTCAGTAGAAACGGGGATAAGAGATCAGTGCTATCAGGGTACAAATGGGAAGTAGCCTAATACAGGGACCTTGGAGAACAGTGGGGTTGCTGCCCCTTGCTCGTGGCAAAGCAGAAGATTTCCTGCTCAGGCACAAGGGTGAGGCGGCTCCTGAGGTCCCAGTGGGACATCCCTGCTGACTTTCTTTTCACTCTGGGCCCCCAGAGTGGTGTGAGTTCACCCCCTATGAGGTCGGCTTCCCCAAGTACGGGGCTTATGTCCCCACCGAGCTCTTTGGCTCTGAGTTCTTCCTGGGGAGGCTGAGGCAGCTTCGTCCTGAGCCCCGGATCTGCTACCTGCAGGGTAAGTCTGGGCTGATGGCCTGCTGTCTTGCTTCTCTAGTGCTGCTATAATAGAAATGCCACAAGTTGGTGGCTTTAACAAACAGAAGGTTATTTTCTCACAGTTTAGGAGGCTAGAAGTCCAAATTTGGGGTGCTGGCTCTAGAAGAAGTCTTTCTGTCTGTTGGCTCTGGGGGCAGATCCCTATTCCTTGACTCCTTGGTGATCTTCGTGTGGCATGATGTCTGCCTTCTCCCTTCTCTGTGTGCCTGCTTAATCCTTTTAAATTTCAAAAGAGATTGACCCAAGAACACCCTATACTAATCCTATTTTATTAACATAACAAAAACAACCCATTCCCTAATGGGATTATAACTATAGACAGGATTTATAACACATAATGTTTCTGGGCACAATTCAATCCACAACACCTGGGGAGGTCAGAGGTCTGACAGAGCTGAGTTAAGCCCTGATATGGGGTGGAGGGAGAGGAGCTGTGAAAGCCTGGGCCCTGCTTGTCTCCCTAGGTGTGTGGGGCAGTGCTTTTGCGGCCAGCCTGGATGAGATATTCCTGAAGACTGCTGGCTCGGGCCTCAGTTTCCTGGACTCATACAGGGGCAGTGTAAACATCACTGGTAAGGATAGAGACTCTGTCTCCTCCCATACCACTTCCCGGCAATGGGGGTCCTGGCAGAAGTGTGAGGAGTCACACATTATTCACCTTTGCATCCCTTGTACCTAGCACCTGGCAGGCAGGTAGCAACTGCTCAGAAAGTGTCTAATGGATGACATTCTGATTAACAATTACAAGTTTAATTTTTCAAAAGGGTGAGAGAGAAAGAATTACTTTTTTTATTATTTCATAAATGTGATTTCATAGGTAGCTTTTAAAATAGGGCACACAAATGAAAAGTAATTTAAAAGGATTCTGTGTTAAGTGTGTGAGGCAAATACCCTTCAAACCTGGCACTGAACTCATCCCCATGGCTCAACTTTCTGCCAAACAATAGACAGACCTGTAAGGTGACCAATAACACCAGGGAGGTACTTGCTCCTTAGAACAATCAGTCATATGAGATCAAAAGGCAGCATTTGGGCAAGGACAAAGCTAAGAAGGCAGAAAAGGATAGGAAAGAAGAACAAAAGGAAATAGTAAACACAGGGAGGAAGTGGGAAGAATACTGTTACATTGTGGGAATTTCAATCAATGTCATGTGAATTGCTGAAGGGAAAACGAATGTCCTCTGTAAACTTCCACCCAAATGACAATAAAACATAAGAAAAATGTTTGTGAGGCAGTGATCAGACACCTGGGAGGCTGGCTGGCAGGGAGGGTCTCTGGTGTGGAGGAGGCAGTGAGGTCCTTGAGCTGTGAGGCTTCCTGGACACAAGAGGGTGCCTCTTCTGGCTCTATGTGATTGGTGTCACCCCTACCCTAGATGACTGCCAGAAGCTCCGGCTGCACGACCCCTCGAGACTGTGTACGAGACTCTTCACCCCCCAGGGGCCCTTCTCCCAGGCTGTCCTGGACATATTTACCTCCCGCTTTACCTCCGCGGAGAACTTTAACTTCATCCAGGGCCTCTGTCTGCACAAGGACTACATGGCTGGCAGGGAGTTTGTGGCTTGGAAAGGTGAGTACAGTCCTGGGCAGGCAGGTAGTGGGGGGAGGATTACTCTTTCTGACTATACCTTTGGATCAGTGAGGGCCCAGGAAGGACTTTGATTACTGTGCTGGAAGGCAGGGGCTGAATGGGAGAAGGAGGTGGGGAATGGAGGAAGGGGTATCTGTACAGAGGGCACTCAGATTGGGCAGTGAGCTATTGTCAGAAAGCAAGCATTTGCCACTGTCCATCCACCTGTGTCCCTGGCAGACTCACACCCGGACGCCTTCCCCAACCAGCTCACTCCCATGGGCGACTGCCTATACCTTGTGGATGGAGGGTTTGCCATCAACTCTCCATTCCCACTAACTCTGCTGCCTCAGAGAGCTGTGGACCTCATCCTGTCCTTTGACTACTCCTTGGAAGCTCCTTTTGAGGTGAGGTGAGGTGTGTGAGGGGGAGGGGGCGCTTCTGAAATAAGTGGATAGAGGAGAGAAGATGAGTGGAGTTTCTGTTGAGTGGCCTGGCTGGCTGTTTGGGGATCACTCTTCTTAGGAGCATGGTGAGTGCCTTCTGAATGCTATCAGCAATAATGGTCTCCCCCAGTTGGAGAAGGTGAATTGCTGAGATCAGGGGAGAGAGACTCAAGAGGAACCTACAGAAGGTCCTCAGGCGTCTTGTATCTTGGTCAACAGAAGATCATACCACTCATTGCAGGTTTCCCGGCCCCATTCTTGGTCCAGGTCTACTGTCCCTTTGTTATAGAGCTGTCAGGGTTCCCTCAGGGAGTCTCTGACAATAACTTCCTTAAACCTTTAGCCCACTGTAGGGTAGCAGACAGATTCTACCCTGCAGATACGAGTTCTGGCTGTGATACTGGGCCAGCTCTTTTCTCTTTGGCCTTCTCCTTCTGGTCCAAATGATGTCTGGGATTGGATGATAGATCCAGGGGCTTCCAGTGCTGACATCCTGTACTCATTGAGTGTCAACCTTATAAAATTGAAATCAGCCCCCAAAGAGGGATGGCAGGGAGGAGTCGGAGAAGGGAAAGCAGTGGATGTTATAGGAAGGAATGACAGAGACAGATGATGCTATAGGTACTTCCCTTGACTACTGTTAATCTTCACTGCAACCCCACCAGAGTTGTTCCCATTTTTATTTTCAAATGAGGAAACTTAGAAAGGTAATGCCAACTCCCTGTAGTCACTCAGATAGTAAGAGGCAGAGCTGGCATTGAAGCCTGGGTCTGTGTTATTTCTCCCCACCCCCATTCCCAACTCCCCACCCCAAGTCCTAGGTGAGGGACCACGCCAGGGGTGGAGGACAGGCAGGATCAGAACGTTCTTCTCTGCCCAGATCTTACAAATGACAGAGAAGTACTGCCTGGACCGGGGAATCCCCTTCCCTAAGATTGAGGTGCCCCTGGAGGACCTGGAGGAACCTCGTGAGTGCTATTTGTTTACTGAGGCTGAGGATCCCCGCTCACCCATCGTGCTGCACTTCCCCCTTGTCAATCATAGCTTTCGCACATACCTGGCCCCAGGTAAGAAGAAGCCCTGGGCCTGGGTCTGACTCATGGAGCCCTGGGGTGGTGATGGGGTGCTGTGGACAGAGAGAACCCAAAAGTCCGCCTCCTGGAGAGCCCTCACTGGGATGCCGTTGCCTCCTTGATGGCACTGAGAGCTGAGACATGGGCCCAAGCAGGGGCACTGGACCCTGGGCCCACACAGAACCAGCAAGGTGTCCTGGGGCAAGGGAGTCTTCTGGACTGTCAGATCCCAGTCAGCTCCACAGAGTACCCCAGCCTGTCCTCCCCTCCTCTCCCCTGCCTACCCCACAGGTGTGGAGCGGCAAACAGCTGAGGAGAAGGCTTTTGGGGACTTTGTCATCAATGGGCCAGACACCCCTTATGGCATGACAAACTTCACCTATGAGCCAGAGGAGTTTGCTCGGCTGGTGGCCCTGAGTCGATACAACGTCGTGAATAATGCAGAGATCGTGAGGCAGGCCCTCCAGCTGGCTCTGGACCGGCGGCAGCAGGCTGGGGAGAAGCCTGGGAGCTGACCTGGGCTGAAGACTGTGGACCGTGACTAAGTTGAGGGGACACACACACGCCCTCCCTGCCCAAAGTGCTACCATCCCTTTTTCAAGCAGGGACACCTCTGCTGGAAGCCTCTGTTGTCCTGACTCTGGGAAGAAGAACCTAGTTCTAGCTTCCAGCTGGGAGGCAGGTTGCTTGGCCTTGGACCCACAGCCCTCCAGCTGGACATGAGCAATGGGGGCTGGGGCTGTGCTTTTGGCTGGTATGGGGTAGGAGGCAGCTTGGCTTTCATCTCCTGCCTCCTCACTGATGCAGCCTGTGACAGCCACTGCCCTGCCTCTGGACCCAGCAGTGACAAGTTTCCTTTGGAGCAGCTCCAGGGTAGCCCACCCTTCAGCTCTGCTACAGCCATTGCCATCACCAGTGCTGTGTCAGCCACTGTCATTGCCTTGTTTGCTTAACGCCTTCAGTCAGTTGTCTTTAATGCCGACATGGCCTCACACTGTCTCTGCCCCTGGCAAGTAAGCCCCATGAAGGCAGGGATATTGTCTGCTTTGCCCAATGCTATATCACTAGTGCCTAGAGCAACAGCTGCACATAGGTACTTAGTAAATATCTGACAAATAAATGAAAAGTAGTTTATTTGTACCTTCTAAAGAAATACATCATTACCCACCTAACATGAAAAGATGTGCAACACTGTATTCCAGTGGTGTATAATCCATTTGGGTCATGAACCCTTTTGAAAAGCAGGTGAAAGCCACAGATCCTCTCCCGAGACAAATGTATATAGATATGAAAAGTCACGTGCAATAAGGTCTCCACTTCGTCTATGTGATTCCCACTCTCTGGGTCCCAGGACCAGCAATGCTTGTGGAGGAAATAGGTGTGTGGTTTGTGTAGAGCTAGTGGGGCTTCACTCACACAGAAGGTGTCACAGGCTTGGGAACTCTAAGGATCAGTTTTACTTGTACACATGGGATCACCGTGAATCAGAATCAACTGGATGGCAATGAACAACAGCAATGCAGCCTTCACCTGGGTCTGGTCTGCTCTTCTATCCATCTGTTGAGTTTTTTCAGTTTATCTTTTAACTATCACATTTTTCATTTTCAAGTTCTATGGTAGGATCTTTTTCAAAACTACTGAATTCATTTAATGGATGTGCTTCATTCTTTTATGTTTAATGATAGACTACATTTATTTGATGGAAGAAAGGTTGGGCAATCTACTTCTGTAGTGACACCGCCTCAGAAACCCAAGGAGGGGTCACTATGAGTCAGGTCCGACTCGATGGCACATAACAACAACAACACATTTATTTTAAGGCATTTTTCTGATTGTTTTATGAACCATTTCCTTGGGGGACATTCTTTGTTGCATCTCCTGTATGAGCTTTGCTTTCTTTATGTATTTGGTAATTGTTTGTTATAATCTCATCTCTGAGATAGTTCTGTGCATGCCCTGGGCTGTGGTGGCCTCCTGGTTACATCATTGACATGCAATTGCAGTGATGGCCTTCAGGTGGCAGTGTGAGGAAGGCTGAAGTTTTGCTGCTATATGACTGCCTCTGTGGTAAAATCATGGTGGTGCAGCCTGGTGTGATGATAGCACCCTTGACAGGGGTGGCAGCCTCATAGCCATGGCAACACTGCTAAGTCTTTGTTTACCTCCTTGGTTAAAGGCTATCTTAGGGTTTCTGATTCATAAAGATTTCCTTTTCTTGTTTTGAAGCATGAGTTATTAATTTATTAATGTATTTTTATATCTGTTCTGGTTACCTAGTGCCGCTCTGACAAAAAATATACCACAACAGGAGTTTGTTCTTACAGTTTGGAGGCTTTAAGTCCAAGTTTAAAGTGCCAGGCTCTAGGGGCTGGGTGAAAGCTCCTCAACCTTAGAGTCCAGCTCTGCCTCCTACTCCTGGCCCACTGGAATTAGAGGCGTTTCTTCACTCAGACAGCTGCTGGCTGCTGAGGCTGAGAAGCCCCAAGGTTGACAAGTAAAAAGGCACAGTCCTGATGTTACCAAACCACACAGCAGGCCATTAACTCAAGTCCATTGTAAGTCCCAAGGTTGGTAGAGCATGGCAGGCTGCTGAACAATGACACGGCTACGTGCAGGGTCCAAGCGTGCCGTAGGCTAGAGACCATTCCCAAAGGTGCTGCTTATATGTGGGAAGCAGACCACATACTCAAAGCAGCTACTCAGCTGCTTGTGGTAGATCCCACCATGGAGTTGATTGCTAGTCTCATCATGGGGAATAACTACCACCAGATGCCCAACCACTCAACCAGGCCCAGCCAAGTTGACACACAAACATAGCCACCACAGTATCTTTCTCTTCATTAACATGGGTTTGATGTTGGGGAAGGAGTAAATAAAATAGTCCCATTACCCACCAGTTGCTGTTTAGTCCATTCCAACGCCTGGCACCCCTGTGTGTGTCAGAGTAGAACACTTCTCCAGAGGGTTTTCAGTGGCTGAGTTTTTGGAAGTCTATCCCCAGGCCTTTCTTCTCAGATACTTTTGAGTCCACTCAAACATCTAACCTTTCGGTCAGCAGCCAAGCACACTAACCATTTGCACCACCCAAAAGTAAAATATTACAAGGGACAGTTTACAATTTCAAGATGAAGACAGTGGACAGGCTAACATTTTCCCAACATTTAAAATTTTTTTTAACTATTTTCAATTTGTGGATGTGAATGTTAAAAAAAATTGAGGTATAGATATATTTGAATTGGGTGAATTCAGACCTAAATTAAAACCCCATTTTGAATCTAACTCAGATTTTCATTTCAATTTTCCTAAAAAAAAAAAAAAAAACCATTCAGCATTTCTGTCAAAGTTTTACTGCTTAGGAAAAAAAATAATGAAGGGGAAATTCAGGGTATTGAACTTGGATGAAGAATTAGTTGGTGTCTGTTAAGAGAGTTTGTGCAGCTGGTCCCAGAGGAGGCACCTTGGTCAGCAGGAGGATAGGAAATAGAACTGATAATTGTAAATGGGCTTAGAACTTTTGTATCAATCCTCACACCAGCTGCCCCGCCCACAGCACTCACTACTTCTCTGCTGGGTTCGATATTTCATTGCAATGGGTACACAGAACTCACAGACATTACTCACAATTATGGGGTTTATTAGGGAAGTAACAGGTTACAACTCAGATTTAGGAACACACTCAGGATACAATTCTTCAATCAAGACAGTCTACCCTCAGCCATGCTCTCAGACACTCCTCTCTGGCTCTTGGCCTCTCGGCCTGGCCTCTGCTCTGCTCGGGCAAGTGTTCCAGAGCTCTTTCAGTTCTGCCTGTAGGTGCACCTAGGTGCACCCCACTCTGCCAGCAAGCATCCTGCCCAACGGCACTCAGCTTTCTCATTCCATGGGCTAGCAAGACTGCCACTCTGTCTTGTACTTCTTGGTTCTGCTGTCATGGTGGTCTCAGCCAGTTGTCTCTGCAAAGGAGGTCCAATGCAGGGATTTCGGGTCCAAGAATGCACTTCGCTCCACCCCTGGCTTTTCTCTCTTGATGGCAGTGAGATCCTCCTTCTGCCTCTAGGAGGGCTCATTTTAAGCCCAGCAGAGTGACAAAACAAACCAATCCCCACCTTATAGTTCATGCAACTTATTTCCATGGCTCCACCCCACAAGGGTGCCATTTACCTTATTTATATTACTAACAATCTATCCAATCCTTGGTAGACCAAATCACCTTATATTTGCATAGTTCTACCCAGTCATTTGGTGAAAGTCACAAAGACCATGCATGGCGAGGAGAGCCATACCAGGTAATTCACCACACCACAGTTGGAAAGGACAGGCATAAGGGACCACTTGGCCATATTCAACAATAACAGTATCAAATTACCTACTGAGACCAACAGCCTATGAGGCTATGACCTTTACATCAACCTCCTCCTGTGCCCTAACCTTGTTAGTAAGAGGCTTTCCAGATGCACTCACTGGGTTTCACACTTGGGAGAAGCCCCTATTGGTCCCAGATCTTGACACTGCCTCCTTCAGCCCACTCCTGATCCAGGCCTTCCCTTGGAGCAAGAACTACTTCAAAGGTGTCCCATATGTTGGCTGTGTGAACAGAGGGCAACATGTGAACAGCACTGCTATCCTAAGGCTCCTTGTCTCTTCCCAAGACCAGGCTTCTGGAATCTTTATCCAGGAATCTAAGCCTGAGTTGGCATCAGACAAGCAGCTCCCAGTTGGAGCTCCCAGAGAATGCTTGCTTTGGGGTTAAGCTGACCCCAGGAATCTGGGGAGAAGCAGCTTGGGGTCCCAGGGCCTGAAATTTCCTTTCATTAAGGGACAATAAGGCCAGGGACTTGCCACTATATCCTGTGTCAGCCTGAGCTCCTGATGTTCCCAGCTGCCCCAGAGGATTTGGTCCACCAGCAGGTGGAAGTGCCCTGCTGTGGGCTGGGAGGAGCTCAAGGCTACAGGAATGGGTTAGATGGGTGAGAGAGCAGCAAAGGAGCAGACTGGACAACCAGGACTGTTCCAGAACCTGCTTGTTGGGTGGTCTGACTCAGGGAGGAAGCTATTTCCCTCTGGTGCAGGGCTTTCTGGCTCTGTCTGCAGCTCCCACACTCCTTCTCTGACACCCCACCCCCAAACCACCTCACTAACAATTGATCCTAGTTTACAGAGGAGGGATCTGCTCAGGTTACTCTTCCTGCAAAGGAGCCCATATTGAAGGCTCCTGTCCCCACTCTGTTGCATCTCAATCCCAGGAAGTGGTCCTAGCAGAGCTTGTGGATCAGCCACTGGGGGATTCCTTCCTGGTGAGCTCAGTGTGAGTGGGAGTAGAGATGTAGGGAGTCAGAAGCAAGGCTGAGTGCCAGTGGTTACAAGGAATGTATGGCTTATCCTGTGGCTCTGACCATCTTTTTTTTTTTTTCTTCCCTTTTTTAAAAATTTTGATTTGGTGAATGTTTACAGAGCAAAGTGTTTTTCCATTCAACAATCCACACACATTCTGTTTTGTGACATTTACTGCAATCCA